TGATCAGCTGGACGTACCTGCAATTGTGATGTTTGTGAATGTCCTTTTGGTCCCCCCCCTGAACTGCCGTTGCTTCTGTGTGTCCCTGTTAAAGTAGCTACAGGGAAGCCAAGCGTTATGCGAGTCGAAGCTCATCATACTCGAGACTTATCAGTTGCACTCGAGACTCATCGGTTGTACTCGAAAGATTAGCGCTCTCCATTTGGAGTTTAAGTGTGCGCACCCCATTCGTGGGGAATCCTCGGGTGTACCCATTGTGTGACCCCGGGCCGGCTCTGTCGGAAAATTTGACCTCAACGTGCTTATCATAGAACAGCGGAATTTCACATTTAACCAGGAACGAGGTTTCACTAAAGGGAAGACAAGTTGACATGGAAGGATCTTACCTTCGAGCAGCTGGCAGACGGGTTTCAATGTTGCTTACCCAATGTGGTGAGGGCCTTTGAAGCTCCCGACCTCATTCGTGCTGCTCATCCCGGTGACCCGCTCCCTTGGACAGAGTTAGTACACGCTGCTGCAGGCAGGCTTCTGCAATATCGTCTGGCCAAGGGTCTTGGGCGTCCTCTCACCTTGCGTATCCTGCACACTTACAATGTTGGTGGATGGTCCCACATTTGCTGTGAGCCGGATGCCAAACAGCGCTGGCTGTTGCGTGCTTTGCGTGTTGGACCGGTATGCCTGCAAGAGACGCGCTGGGGGGAAGAGCAACCCCGTCGTGTACGTCAATCCCTTGCAGGTGTCCAGGTGGTTGCTACCCCTGGCCTTGTTACGGACGGAGGCTGCAGCGGTGGGGCGGCTATCCTGGTTCCAGTTGGCTATGACATTCTCGATTCTCGGACTGTGGTCGCTGGCCGCGTCATTGCGGCACACCTGCAACTTCGCAGTCAGACCGTTTGGATGGTCTCTGCGTATGTTCATCCGTCTGAACGCAAAGAGATCGTTCAGTCCCTCACGGCTTTTCTAGATGACCTTTCGCACGATGGTCTTCTTGTCATTAGTGGTGATTTCAACGGTGCGGATGTGCGCATAAGCGTCGAATGGTCGGAGCTCCTTGACAACCATTCTTGCAGTGCGCCTCAGCGAGCAAACTGGACCGCATCCTCATGCGTCCTCCTGGCAACGCGCATGGTGGGCTCGGGGCCCAGGTCTGTGCTCAATGGCCTTCCTCGAAGCAAGGTCACGCCACCCTGCGTGCTCGGCTGATTGGACCTCCCAAGGTCATCTCCAGCAAGCACCATCCGCCGCATCGCACCATCCCCACATCGGCGTTCCAGCTTCGTGGGCTCGTGCAAAATTGCCCGACACCTATACCTATTCTCAGACGGTAGGTATCTTCTGGCAGTGGTGGCGGAATTGCCCTCCACCCCGTCTTATTGGGCACCTCCCACCTGCACGCCTCCTCCAGCGCTACCTGAAGGGTAGGGAGGTGCTTCATGTCCCTTTCAGTCTTTATTCTGAAGCTGTCAAGTGTGACCCCCGTGTTGGTGGACAAGCTTTGCGTTGAGGAGGCTGTGCGCCGCTTTGAGGTCGGTGTTGCCGCCAGAGCTCATGCAGTCGTCGGGGGCTCGGCTACGGATTTGCTGCGCAACCGTACTGCTGCTCGGCCTCGCTACTGGGAGCGCCTTCGCGCCGTTGATGCGAAGGTTGTTGTGCGCATTGGCCCGTTGCTGCAAGCTGACGGTTCGCCCTGTCTTACTGGAGCCGCTGTGACTGAACTGCGCCCGCGCGGGGCCGCTTGGACCCGCGAGCTGCGGCTGCGCCCTCTTCCTGGGCAGCAGGTCTTCACCATCGACGCCATGCGGTTGCTGGTGGACCAGCTCCGAGACCTGCTGGCCATTCGGCTGCCCTTCCTCGCCAAGGTCAGCTTCCAGATCCTGCTGACGCGCCCGGCCGTAAACGACGAGGATGACTCGACAGAAGCACTCTGTGCTCCGAGTTTATGATACCTGGAACGCAGCAACACCAAGAACAAGCACTGATCATCTTCACACCAGATGGCTATGAGGCTGTTGACTTCTATGTCTGCTTCTTGGGCTTCAGAGTGGGCTGCCAAGCAAAGATGTGGACCAGCCAGGACAAAGTGGACCGGCCGGAGCAGGCACGCCGCAATGCCCTTGCTGGAACAGTGCAGGAACAATGGCGACCTTTCGTTCGATGCGACAGCTTCATCGTATATGTCGGGTCAGAGCGGTGCAGTTACCAGGAGAGGCAGTGGCCACGCACGATGGCTCAGCATTTTCCCCGCTCATTTTTGCGTAGTTTTGGTATGAGCGACTGACGGCTTTGCGGTGGGAAAAAAAAGGCAAGGGGCAAGGGCATGATAAAGATGACAGGGGAGGTCTGTTTTGTGTGAGATGTCAAAGGTGAGGGTCCGGAATCAGTCGTCTGGGGTAGTTTTTTAAAGGCCGATTCCTGTTCCACGGAGTGTGACAAGGAGTTTGGCAGAGCCAAACACAGGCAATCTCGAGGGCTTTGGCGCAAGATATTGCCATGCGGCGGCTCAAGTCAGCTCCCCAAAGATTAGAAGTGCCCAGAAGGGTGTTCAAGCTTACTCATCCTTTTGACCTTCCGTGCCCACAATGCATGCAATAGTGCAAGTTAGAGGTGCCATGATTAGGTTGGACAACAGCAAATGTGAACTACTGCCAAGAAACAGGTGATTCGGCCTGCGTAGAATTGTAAGAGGTATTCTTGCAGAGCTTCGCTTTTGTGGGCTGAGTAGATTCGACACAAACTCTTGATGCTTTTTTCGTAATGGCATATACCAGTTTGCCGCAGACACTGACGAGAATCAGACTACTCAGGCTTGAGATTTTTGTGGGATTTCACGCTTGTGTTGAACAATGCACGTCATGATTGAAGTGCAGCAACTCTGCGCCAGTAACCTGGCAGGGACAGCTATTATCAATGCTGAGTGTACGCGTGTGTTTATGCGGTGAAGAAACATACATTAATTTCACGTACCGTGCCGTGTTGCGCGGCTAGCACAGTGTTCTTTGAGCCGCTGGAGCACTGCCTTACCATGGACCAACAAAACCTGCCTGGCGCGCAAGATCGTGGCGCGGCTGTGGGAGCAGGGCGAGGCGGTGCACCTGGTCGCACTGCTCCGCGCAGAACCTGGGGCTCGGCGCGCAGACGTGCGCGGCGGCAGCGTGCAGCGGCTGGACTGGCTGGTGGTCGAGGAGATCACTCTGCGGACCAACATGCGCTGGCGCCCCAGGGGCTCTGCAAGCCGGGCGACCGCTGCGATGCCTGGGAAGACGGCAAGCACCCGCGCGGCGCAGCGGGGCCCGCGGCTGATCGGGAAGCATTACGAGCGCATCAGCGGGCAATCTCGCGAGGCTGAGCCCTCCCGCGGGAGCCTTGCTCGGTGCAAGGCAAGCCGGTTCAGAGTGATATAGAAACTAAATATAGCAAATATTCACAGTGTTTTGCTCAAACATGTCAAATATTCAGAATGATATATCTCAAGCACCTTAAAATTAAGCGCGTGCCACAGCGTTTGCATCCCAACCGGAACGGACAACACCTTCCGAGCGGAAGTGAACAAACTGTTCACCACCGCATGGTCCCTGCAACTCTTTGTGCAATTAGTCGCAGCCTGGGCTCACAAGCGTAAATGGTTAGTGATCGCCTCCCACATCCCGGGAGAGCATAATATCAGGGCAGACCAGATCAGCAGAGGCAATATTGCTGCCTTTCAAAATAAGCCGCAGTCTCAAGTGCGTTTCGCACCGCACGATTTCTGGCCGCACAAGTCCGCTTTGACTTTGCGTCCTCCCGATGCTCCTTGGCGTCCAGAGCATAGGGCAGCCTTGCAACCGCACTGAAGAGGGGGCGAGTATTGGGCCGTTTGCTCAGAACCCTAAAGTGGGGGTATTTGTGCAGGCTCCGCAAGGGGATGCAGGTCAAAGGGGATAGACACGCATTGTCATCCCTCTTGCATCCTCGAGCCTGCAACGCCCAATAAAAAGGAGCAGAACGATTGGGTCGGTCGGGTTTTGGGTTCCCCTTTTTATTGCTTGTCCCCTCTTGGCTTGAAGCAGTGAACAGGATTCTAACAAAGAAAGCAAGCTATAATTCACATTATTCTTTTGATTCTTCCGCCGGCTCTACTGGTAGCATCACACGTGTGTCCCGACCTTTTTGTTTTTTCTTTTTCAAAGCTTCAGAGAATTGGCATGTGAACGCACCAACTCAAGGCGGGGTGTTAGCCTCTAAAAACCCCTAACTCATGCTGCGCGCGACACCACTTTTAGTTTGTGGACTTTGGCAACTCAGCCCGAGAACCCGGCGGGCTTGGCAACTCACATGGGCTCGATGGGCCCGGCTGTTCTGGCATCGAAAGCGGCCGGGCTTCTCGAGAGCGCTTTGGTCCCGGCCCGGAGTCGTGCAAAGTGGCAAAGAAGTTGCACTGGCAGTTGTGCGCTTTTCAGAGGTCGTTGACATGCACAGGCTTGGTCCTCAACCACGTGCCACCGTGCACAGCAGCATCGATTGTACATGTTGGTCGTCCACCGCCATTTGCTGATTCTGGTGCTGTGGTCGAGGTATGTGCTTGTTTGTTTACAGTACAATAAGTGCCCTAGCGAGCTGACAACTGCGATTTTGCAGCGATCATGGTCATGCGCCGTGCATCACAAACAGCGTTGCCCTCCGCAAGTACGCCCACTCGGGTACTTCATCTGAAAACAGTTGCGAGCGTGTTGGGCACACGACAGGCTGCAAAGTGACTAACATGCAAAAACATAATGCAGCACTTGATGTGTGGAGTAGGAACCACTATTGAACTATTGTTTTTCCAGAATTGAGTCGCTGGCTTGGTGGAATGTGGCATGTTTCTCGATGTGAATTGACTGCAGCTTTCCGCCAAATGTACGGCACAAAGTCCATCATTCACACGGAATCGAGCATACCCCCATGGTAAGACAATAGTGTCCGCTTGGGAAGAGGCTGTCCGTCGCCTAATATGAGATTCTCACCCTGAAGCTGATCTTTGAAGTATTCGCAGCGCCTTGGAATGCTTGGGTGAAAGCCATGCTGCATCACGTAGCGCAACAGTTTTGCGCTTCCCAGGCGTGCGGCCCAAACATGAGGGACAGCTGAAGTGCCCAAGTGCCGGATGATTTCCGCCAGGTGGCAAAGCAGGCGTGCCGCTTGCATTTGACATCCAGGTGGGAGGGGAAGAAACGGCATAGGCTGGGGTGCACGTTGGCAACGCTTTTGGACTGTTTGCAGTCAACACACATGTGGGGAACTGGCAAACGGCAAACACTATGGATGCAAAGGTCAGTGTGCAAAAAGCTTCGGTCCAAGACACCGAACGGGTGGACCTGGCGAAACATGTGGTGCCAGGGCGGTTTGCACGACTGGAACTTTTTCTTCTTCTTCTGTTTGGGACACGATTTGCGTGCTAGGTTGCGGCCATACACAGCGGTTCGCCATTTCACCGTGGCTGCCAAGGAGCCAGAGGAGAGATTCCCCACAGTCTAATCTTAACACAAGAGACACGAGCTGAATGGTAGCACCATGCGTCAGTACCACACTGGTGGCAACTTCGAAGGGCCATTGGCTTAGTGCTTGCAAGCTTGAACCGGGAAATCCTGATCAAATCGGACACTATTTCTGAGTGAGAGCGGACAGTTCTTCTGATCCAGGCACCACCTTTTTCACAAAGACGCTCCATTTGTGTTTCGAAACGGCGAGCAGATTTCAGAGCCGGCAGCTCAGCGAGGGCATGCAAGGCTATGGCAACCCAGGGGGCATGAACAATCCCGATCAAGCAGAACCTGCTTCTTTTTTGCCACCAAACAAACATGCATTTTTCCTTGGGGCCCTCGATGCTTGGAGTACAAACATCCACTTGAGGTTGCAGATTGCCTACGAAACGTGGGGCCATTTGGCACGCGCCTTACGCCGTTGTGTTCTGGGCGATGTGTCAAATTTCAACGTGTCAGTTCAGTTCCTGAGCGGGACTAGTGGGATTTGGCCGGAGTGCCTTCGAATTCCAGAGCTGGAGTTGCCATCTGCGCAGAACGCCAAGAAAGACAATGCCATCCTCTTGCAGCCACCACCTCGGCTGGGATGATCTCAGCAAACGATTCAACAGCGGGCGTTTGAATCTGTTGACCATGAGCATTCCGAATGGGTTTTTGTTGATTGGAACCGAGGCAGCGAAAACTCTTTTCCTTTTGCTTGGAGTGCCTCGATTCTTTGAGCGGACTGAGGTGTGGAATGTCAGCCTCCTCCCACGCCTGCTCTCATTCGCGGAATCCAGCGCCTGGGTGGTGGGAGGAAGCGAACTCCGCCACAGCAACGCAAAGATCCGCAAGAGCGGAAGACTAGCAGACCTGAAGCTGTGCCTAGTATTTACAACTGGGAGCTGAGATCGTATGTCCGTAGCTGAAGAGAACAGCCCTGCGAGTGACATTGAAAATGCGCTTGGGGCCCCTTCACCTTGCAGGAATATATTGGCCCCGGCAGACCCTTGGACACCAACTTGTTCTTTGACCAAGCCTCAGCTTTTTTCTTGGTGTGCGACACTACTGGGGCACTGTGCCGATTGCAAGCTTGATGCCTCAGGTGATATGCACCAACAACCTTGGAGGTTGCTATGGATCGAGGTGAGTCGACCCTGCGTTTCAAGTTTGCTGGTGTGTTTCACGAATTGCCAGTGGGCCATCCTCCATCAACACCAAGACGGGCCAGCGTTATGGAAGCTCCTTCCCTCGCTTCGAGGTCGGGTCTCGGCCCGTTTTGCTTGTCTTTCATGGTCCGAATGAGGTTCAGGATCAAGTCTCGGCGCAGTTCCAGCTGTTGGACCACCTGGGGATCGACCAGGTTCACGCCTGCGTGGGAGCCTCTCTGGGAGGCGCTCGCGAAGCGCTTTCACAATCGAAACCGATTCGGGTAGATGAAGGTTCGTAAGGGACAATCTGCGGCCGCCTTCTTATTTCTTTACATGGCTCTGGGTAGACCATTGTAATACCGGGTTTTGACTAAGAATCAACTTTTTGCGTGCGGCCAAGTTTCGAAGCCAACGCCGTCAGGCATGCAGAGCGTGTGTTCTGCGGCCCTGTTTCCTGACCGAGCGCGGGGCTCGGCTGAATTTTCGTGCTGGTCTCGTTTTAGCACCGAGCCTGTTGCGTTTAGACAAATCTTGTAGGCGCACAGAAGAGGTTTGAGGTTTCTGAATCTAGTATGACTGAATGAACACTCGAGTCGAGATGATTTTAGTGGCATGCAGCCACCAAGCCACAGCTGCCGAGTCAGCAAGTCATCAAGGCATGTGGCCGAGCTTGTGGTGCGGAAGGTTCCACATTGAGTTTGATATCGACCGCAAGTTGCGAAAACTGTCATTCTACAAAGCACTGACTCAACAACCTGTGCACATGTTCAGGAAACTCTTGCTGGTTGTGCAGATTGCCAGATGATATGATATTTTATTTGCAATCTGCATCCTGCCATCCTGCCAGCCTGCCCGCATGACAACTGTACAGCGCAATTCTCAGTGTCCCCCAACCTGCACGGTGTTGGTCGATCAAGTTTTACACAGACGCACACACACACACACAGTGGTTCTCGTCGGAACAGCTTGGACCATCACTATGACGGTGAACATGATTTGGACGGCTTTGTCGAGGTTGGCAAGTTCGTGACCATCTCCGCCTGCCCAGCCCTCGGGGAACGGGAAGGATGCCTTTTATGAGATGGCCCTCTCAGGGAGTTGATGTTGGGTGTGACGCTCCAAATACCAATCGCATGTTTCATGTTCTTCTCAGGTGCGAAGAGTTTTCCTGGCAGCATGGCGTTTCGGCACGCTCAGCGCCAGGCCAGGGCTGCTGAAATCAGCGACTGGTGCAACTGCCTGCCTCGCATTTGGCAGGCTATCATGTCCGATCCAAATTGGAACGGTGGAGCTGGGGCCTGACAGAATGCTCTTGATGTCCAAGCGGCTTCGTGCAGCCATGCGAGTTATCGAATGATTTCATCGCTTTCCTTGTCCCTGGGAGCTTTCGCTGTCATTGGGTTGTGAGGACTACTACAATGGCAAGCTGCCGGCAAATGGCTTGAGACTTGCCCGACAGCAGGCCACTCAGACTGGACTGAGCAACGCTCCTTGCTGCAAGTCTTTTGGTTTTCAAGGCAGGCAACTTCATGGGATCTGAAAAGGTGTTCACGTTTCTTGGGCAGCTGTCCTTTCCGCACCAAGGCTTGGAACTATCACTTATCGTTCTGGGCTGGAGCCAAGCGCTCAGATAGCAAAGATCGATCCGGCGAGAGCGCTGAGTTTTCGCCTCGATCGCCGGCTCGGGATTTAGGTGGCAGCAGCGCTTCGGCCAGAGCTTGGCAAAGGGCGTCACCAAGCGCGAAGGCGGTTTTGGTGTTTTCGTAGCCTGCGACGGTTTCGGTTCTTTGACGTGTCTTTTCGCGGCCCCCTCTGAGTGTTTTTGATGGGGAGGCTTGAAGAACGAGTTCATGATCGAGAATTATTTGGCCCACCAGGGAGAGCACTGGCCTCAGCATGAGTCAGCAAGAGATCTTCAGCTTCGGATGATAGGATACTGTACAGCGGTTTGGCTTGAGTCGCATTTGTGTCACCAGCATACTGTACAGCGGTTTGGCTTGAGTCGCATTTGTGTCACCATGTCGAAAAAAACAACAGAGGTAATGCCCAGATGTGAGGTGGTTTCAGAGCTAAGGAAATGGGTCAACGCGTACGATCCCAACTCCTTGTTGTGGATCTCAAAGGCGTTGGCATTCTCGCCAAACCGCTCGCCAAACCGCTCGCCAAACTGCTCGCTAAGCTTGCCTTTGCCAGGCGATGGATGGCTTCTCATTGGAAAAGCCGGACAAGGTCGGCATGGGAACTCACCAGCTGGTTTTCGTAGTGGCATTGTTTGCAATGTCGATGCTCATGTTGATGGCTCACGAGATAAACAAAGTTTTACGTCGGATCATCCCGTGGGGTCGAAAATGGAATTCAATAGTTCTTGCATCCTGTTCAAAGGGTTGTATGAGTCCATCAGGGGCAAAGCAGCTGCTTGTTTCAGGATGGCAGCCCCAGCTTGATCGAGGGCCTGAAGCCTGCCATGATGCCAGCCCTCGTGATTGGAGTGCAACATGACGTGCCCCATGGGGAGTTTCAGTGAGTTCTTGGACTTGGTGAACCTTGAAAGGTACTGTTCCCGGTTTGGCAGCAGAAGGAAATTGCAGACACCTTGCGCAAGGCGGGAGTGCGAGTGTGGAAATGCTATGAACAATGGTCACCCCCCAGCAACACTTGCAACCCGCCTCTAAGGTAACACTGGGTGCAAACGCGGAAAGTAACCGAAATTGGTAGAGCAGCCCGCAACACAAGGGTTGTCACCAACACGCGGACGGCCGTGCAATGCCCTTGCCTAACGCAATGTTTGTTGCATGCCGGATACTTAAGGCGCACAACATTTTGATATTGAGATATGCTGTGTTCTTGCAATTGGCTGGCTATTTTATAGCTAGGTTTGAGGGGTGTTTACCGGCAACTTGCTTTGACATTGGCTGATGTGCAACCGAAGCTTGAAAAATGACATATCACCATTTGACTCATTGAGGCAAATGCCAGCCTTTCCACGTTTCACCACATGAGGCGGGAAACAAGCGCGTGGTTTACTACGAGCTGGATTCCGTCTATGGGGCCACGCTGCCACGTTTTTTAGCGCAGTTTGGAGAAGCCTGCCGTATATTGAGATGGCATTGCTTTTGTGCAACGTAAAGAGTCGGTATGACAAAGAACCTCTCTTGATTATAACAAAACCAAGAGCCACATTGCAGCAGGCCATGCCCTCCTTCTAGGTGAGCCGTTGAAGAATTTTCGACAGACAAATAGCCAGATGTAAATGCAGATCCCGAGAATCCGAAAAGCAACAAAGTCGACATGCAGGCTTTGGGCCGGGCAAAAAGCCACAAGCAGTGTTGTTGTATTCTCCTCCATGACCTTAGTGTGAAAAGCCTCGTGACCGCAGCACGACTCCTTCTTGCTGGACGCGGTTTCAATTGGACCTGCAGTGAAAGGCAGGGCTCGACGGCTCGACGGCACGCCTTCCCCCAAGCCTTTCTAGGGACAGATGGCATACGCTTTTTGGTAGGCTCGACTTTGGGTGTACTCCGTGAGTCCTTCTTGGGAATGGGTTTTGAGGGAAACCATAGGAGACTGACCGTTGTTGTGTGTCTACCATACCAAAAGGGTTGTAAAGCATTTTTGTCTTTGCAGTTCCTTTGATTTCCCTTTGATTTCCCTTTGATTTCCCTTTGATTTCCCTTTGATAACCCTTTCAACCACCCACAAAGCTGGGAGCCATGTTGGTGTAGTGCGCTGGTGGCCATGCCTGTTCGGCAGGTCATTTGGAGCAGGAGCCGAGCGGTGCGCGGCACATTTGGGAGGAGCCTGGGGTGGGCTGGGCGAGGGGGGGGGGGGAAGGGGGCGCATATGTTTTTGTGTATGGTCTGTGGCTTGGCTTGCTCGCTTGTTGCAGTTTCTTTGCGGCGAGAGCTCGGTTTGTGCAAGCCCATCTTCCCAATTTAGCGTCAAGCATCGCCGCTGGATCTTCCCTCAAGCTTTGCTGAGGATCTGGCCAGCAGCGCAGTGGGCTTCCTGCAGGCACGGGACGGATCGTTGTTTTTGCAAGGGACAAAGTGGATGAACCAGCCCTTGGTCATTCTGATGATGTAGAGGTTAAGCAGGGTTTTTGGAAAAAGGAGGGTACAAGCTTGGGCCTTCCTTGACCCTCCGAGTGCTTTTCTTAAGAAAAACGCAGCCGCGTGGACGAAATCCCAGGCCATCAGCCAGCGCGGCAGCACCGCTGACAGCATGCGGGACATCTTCCGTGCGCTGGGGAACGGAGAAAAGGCGGGGTGCGAATCAAGCGGTTGACCATCCAGCCGAAGGCTTGGTTTGATAGAGGGTTTGGAAAGGGCTTGGTCTGATCCAGCCGACTTACAGAGATTGCGACCGCTGCCTGGGCACTCAGAGCGACGTTCTCCGCAGGAAGTGGAACGAGACCGACTGAAGGCCATGGTCAAGCTGGTTTGGAGCGGCCGAGTGAACGAGGCCCTGGCAGCCGTTATGTCTTGTTTTGTTATTTTTTGGTAGAGCCAGGCAGCCGTGGACAAAGCGTTCGAGTCACTGGCCAAAGAGCCTCTGATGGAGCCGCTGGCCTATGATTCTAGGGGTACCTTCCCCATTCTTCCGGGGATCCTTCTTTTCAGGAAACCATCAAACAATCAGGGGAAACAGCGGTTTTTGAAAAGAACGATGGTTAAAAAGAATGGGGAATCAACCCCTAGAATGATGTCTGTTTACTGTTGAATCCAGGCTGATAGATTGGACTTAGCCCTTCCTGAATCTGCCGGATGTGCGAGTGATCATGCCCACAAGGCTCAATGACTTTATGCAGATGCGACAGGCGCGCCTGCGAGCTGCCGAAATGCCGGCGTCAGTGCCGGATGAATGTTCTGCAACTATTGCCGGCATTCTCCCTCAGCTCGACAAAGTCACTTACATGTTTCTGCACCCGTCTGACACAGGCGGCATGTCCTAATGCCCTAAACACATTCATCACACGAACGAGTCTTACCACCTGCTGGATTTTTCTGGACCTCGAGACGATGAGTAGCCAAAAACCAGAGAAGACCGGCAGAATCAACGGGAAGGGTAAGGATTGTACTCCGCAATGCCTTGCAGGTGCTGACCGAAGCAATGTCTGACACATATCTGCCTTGAGGCAGCTTCAATGCACGCGTTTTTTTTTTCTCTTCGGATCCTATTTTCCACAGTTTTATGGGAAGCGTTGCGGTCTTCCGAGTGAGTCTACCCTGATAGAGGGAGGCGCGCAGAGACGATCCCACTTTTTCGCTCAGATCACACAGCTGGAATCGAGAAAAGAGAGGCATTGAGCAAATGCACGTCTTGAGAGCCTCTTGAGTTTGAAGAGTACCAGTCTCGAGGAAGGTATCGGTTGACATCCAATTTGCGAAGCCGTTCATGAATTGGACAATTGTAGGTTTCGGCTTCATGCTCTGTTTTTTTCACTTTGTGTACCGCAGGTTTGCTAGGCCTGGTCTTTTAGCCCCTTGCTTGGCTCTGCAGCTTTCGGCTGAGGGCCTCTTGAATCTCACAGTCTTGCCTGGCATTGCGTGGGATGGGCAGACACCTTTGAAAGCTGGGGCCGACTAACTTTGCAACATTCTCAACTTGACCTTGTTGATTCGAGTCCAAGGATCTGTAGCATTTGGCATTCTACACTGCAAGCCCAAACATCTGCTCTAGCTCGAGTGCACCTAGATGGCTGCGACCAAACTAGGAAGCACTGCGATGCATGTAGCCCCACTGCACAGTATTGCGTTTTGTGTCTGCTGTGTGTAGTGGTTCTATGGAATCCACACAATAAAAGGCTGCAAGATTTGGGGACGTGTTGGCAAGAGCGACCGCATGCTGAATGCAGCTGGCCGGGGATCTTGACCCGGCGAGCAGAACCAAGGGCCAAGTTCGATGCCGAATTGGCAAGTGGGGGGGGGGTTCTCAAAATAGTGGTCCCCCAACAAAGGTAGCCTTTCCTTTGGGTTCCCTTTTATTACCAAACAGGGGTCCAGCACGTGAAACTCGATACTCGCAGTGGGCTTCCTTCTGAGGGATGGAAGCCACCTTTGAAGCTCCGCCCGATGCTCAGACGCCACAGACAATGTCACGAGCCTCCGGCTCTGCAGGCGGTCGCAGGGTGAGGTCAGCGAGGGCACAGACGCCGGCGCCTGAGGCGAGAATCGGCCCCAGACAGCAGGGCTCTAGCGCATTGTGTGTTGAGCCGTCCTGAAGCCTAGGTTTTTCATTTGCGAGAGAGGAGCCCAAGTGCCGGCACAGAGGCGTGCTGGGTAAAAGTGAAGCAGGTGCAATGAAGTCATGAACGAAAGAATGGACGCCAAGGCATGGCCAACTTTGGCGTTTCATTGGCTTCGGATACTTGGGCGTGTGTCAAAATAGGGGTTACAGACACGTGCACAAAGGGAGAGAGAGAGAGAGAGAGAGAGAAAAAAAAGAGAGAGAGAGATGGAGATAGACCCACCCTCACCCATCCACACCCACCCACACCCACCCACCCACACCCGCCCGCACTCACCACCCACCTAACCCAACCCAACAGAACCCAACCCAACACAGCCCAGCCCAGCCCAACCCAACCCAACCGAACCCAACCCAACCTAACCCGACCCAACCCAACACACGCAGACAAACACAGACACACAGAACACAGACACACAGACACACAGACACACAGACACACGGACACAGAGACGGAGAGACACACGGACATACGGACACCCGGACACTCGGACACACAGACGCACAGACACACCACGCGCGCACAGACACACAGACACACACACACAAACACAAACACACGACCACAAACGCACAAACGCAGACACACACACACACACACACATTCACACACAAACACACACACACACAAACGCACAAACACAAACACAAACACACACACGCGCAAAAACGTGCGCACGCACAAACACAAACACAAGCACACAGACACACAAGCACACACGCACGCACAAGCACACACATGCACAAAAACGCAAACACACACACAAACGCAAACTCAAACTCAGAAGGCAAAACATAAACGTAACCACAACCACAACTACAGACACACCAACACCAACAGCATAAATAAGTACAAACGCAAGTGCGCACACGCAGACAAACACACACACACAGACAAAAAGCACAAGCAAGCACATACACACACTTACACCACCTACACACATACACATACACACATACACACATACACACATACACACATACACACATACACACATACACACATACACACATACACACATACACATACACACATACACACATACACACATACATACACACATACACACACATGCACATACACACACACAGACACACACATACACACACATACATACACGCACATACACACAAACACACAAACACACAAACACACATACACACATTCACACATACACACAAACACAGATACCCACATACACATAAACACTCATACCCACACACACATGCATTCATACACCACACACATACGCACAAACACATACTCACATACACACAAACACACATACCCACACACGCACATGCACACACACAAGCACATACACACACATAACATACACACACAAACGCACATACCCACACACGCACATGCACACATACACAAGCACATACACACATACACACATACACACATACACACATACCCACATACACACAAACACACATACCCACATACACACAAACACACATACCCACACACACATGGACACATACACCACACACATACATACACACAAACACACATACCCACATGCACACAAACACACATACCCACACACGCACATGCACACATACACAAGCACATATATATATATATACACACATACACACACATACACACAAACACCACACATACCCACATACACACAAACACACATACCCACACACGCACATGCATACATACATGCACACACCTACACCACACACATACACACATACACACAAACACGCATACCCACGTACACACAAACACACACACAAGCACATACACACATACACATAAACACACAAACACACATACACAAGCACATACACACATACACACATACACACAAACACACATACACACATACACAAGCACACACACATACACACACACATACACACACATACACATACACAAAACCACACACAAACATACCCACACACACACCAACACACATACCCACACACACGCACATGCACAAATACACAAGCACATACACACATACACACATACACACATACACACAAACACACATACCCACAAACACAAACACACATACCCACACACGCACATGCACGCATACACAAGCACATACACACACATACACATATACACATAAACACACACACATACACACATACACACATACACACACGCATATACACACATAGACATGAACACACATACGCGCAAACACACAAACACAAACACACATACACTCATTTACACATACACACAAACACAGATACCCACAAACACACAAACACACATACACACATACACATAAACACACAAACGCACAAGCACACAAACACACATACACACATACACATAACACACACAAACACACAAACGCACAAACACACAAACAATCATACACACATACACATAAACACACATACACACAAACACACAAACACACATACACACATACACGTAAACACGCATTTACACATACACGCAGACACACAAACACACACACATGCACACATACACATAGATACACATGCACACACTCACACAAACACACATACACACATACACAAATACACATAAACACACATACACACAAACACACATACACACATACACATAAACACACAAACACACAAACGCACAAACACACAAACACACATACACACATTCACACATACACACAAACACAGATACCCACACACAAACACACACACACACCCACACACACATACACACACATACACACATACACATAAACACACACACATACACACATACACACATACACACATACACATAAGCACGCAAACACACAAACACATACACACATACACATAAACACACTTGCACACACACAAACCTACAAACACACAGACACACATTTACACACAAACACAGATACCCACAGACACATAAACACACATACCCACACACACATGCATAAATACACCACACACACATACACACAAACACACATACACAGAAACACAAATAAACACAGATACACAAGCACACAAACACACAAACACACATACACACATACACATAAACACGCAAACACACATACACACATACACATAAACACACAAACGCACAAACACACATACACACACACATAAACACACAAACACACAAACACACAAACACACAAACACACAAACACACACACACAAACCTACAAACACACATGCGAACATCTGCACACAAACAAAGATACCCACAGACACATAAACACACATACCCACACACATGCATAAATACACCACACACACATACACACAAACACACATACAAATAAACACACATACACAAGCACACAAACACGCAAACACACACACAAACACGCACACAAAAAACCAAAAAACCAAAAACACATACACACATACACATAAACACACATACCCACAAACACACAAACACACAAACACACATACACACATACACATAAACACATAAACGCACATACACACATACACATAAACACACAAGCACACAAACACACATACACATAGACATAAACACACATACACACAAACACAAAAAACAAAAAAAGAACATACACACATACACACATACACATAAACACACATACACACAAACACACATACACACAAACACACACACACACAAAAAAAACAAAAACACACATACACACATACACATAAACACACATACACACAAACACGCCAACGTACAAACACATACACACATACACATAAACACACAAACGCACAAACACGCATACACATACACATAAACTTTAGAGCCTCCGGCTCAGTCCGCCGACATTGTCCTCTCCCTTTTCTCCTTCTTCCTCTCTTCCTTGTCTCCCTTGTGTGCTCTGTCGTCCTCTCTCCCTCCCTCTGCTCCCATCCTCCCCATCCCCCCAAGCCTCTCTCTCCCCAATCTCCCTCTCTCGTATGTATGCATGCATGTACATAAGTATGTATGTATGCATGCATGTATGTATGTATGTATGTATGTATGTATGTATGTAAGCAAGTAAGTAAGTAAGTAAGTACGTAAGTAAGTATGTATGTATGTATGTAATGTAATGTAATGTAATGTAATGTAATGTAATGTAATGTAATGTAATGTAATGTAATGTAATGTAATGTAATGTAATGTAATGTAATGTAATGTAATGTAATGTAATGTAATGTAATGTAATGTAATGTAATGTAATGTAATGTAATGTAATGTATGTATGTATGTATGTATGTATGTATGTATGTATGTATGTATGTATGTATGTATGTATGTATGTATGTATGTATGTATGTATGTATGTATGTGTATGTATGTATGTATGTATGTATGTATGTATGTATGTATGTA